CTGCCAGCTGATCGGCAGCAGCAAGAATGGGCCAACGGACCTCTCAGCTGGTTGTCTCTGCTGGCGGAGCTGCCTTCGGCATTGTGCTGGTTCCCCCCTCTTCCCTTGAGTGTCGAGCACATGGGGCTTGACAGGCAGCTCCCTCTACCAGGGACTGGGGTAGGTGTAGCCATACAATCACTGGGTTGATGACCTGTGTGACCTGGAAGGGCCCTAGGTACTTGGGAGTACCTAGAGAGGTTTTTGAGGCCTTCGCTTCCTGTCGGCCTGTGCTTTTGTGTTTTGCTCTGCTTTTACCAAAGCCCTTTTTGCATTACCCCACACACCCCTGATGTGTGTTATCCACTCTTGGGGCTGGCAGGGCGAGGGGTCCCCTTGGTTGTATTCAGAGATTGGGACGAAATCCAGGCCGTGCATCACCTGAAAGTTGGCAAACCTGGTGCTACTGTGCACCGCATTGTTGTATATCACTTCCGCAAATGGCAGGAGGTCAACCCAGTCCATCTGCTGGTACACACGTAGCTCCGTGGGTAACGCTTCACCACTGCATTCACACGTTCTGCCCCTCCGTTGGTGCTGGGGTGATACGCTGAACTAAGACCCTGAGACGACCTGATGGACCAGATAAATGTTCGCCAAAACCGAGCCATGCATTTCCCGGTCTGAAATGATCTGCCAGGGCACTCCATCAAGCGATAAATGTGTTGAATAAAGAGGTTGGCCAGAATTCGGGTGGACAGTAGCCCCTTACATGGGACGGAGTGAGCCTGCTTGGAGAAGAGATCTATGACAGTCCAGATTACGGTGTAACCATGACTCTCTGGTAGCTCCACAATAAAGTTCATCCTGATATCCTCCCATGGCCGGGTTGGGTCCGCTACCAACTGTAACAACCCTACCGGCTTCCCCGTTCAGTGCTTTGTGGTGGCACAAACATGGCAACCCCACACGTAGGCCTCTAGGTCCACTTTCATGAGCAGCCACCAGAATTGACGCCGTACCAGGTGTAGGGTTTTTAGAAACCCATAATGTCCCGCTTGCTTTACATCATGGCACCGTCACAATACCTCTTCACATAGGGCTGTGGATGTACAGCTTGTTGCCTTTCCACGCTAGGTCATGCCTGCTACGTTACTGGCGTCAGCCTGCTACGTCACTGGCGTCAGCCTGTACCACAAATGGCATGTTGGGGTTTGGGTGGACCAAGACCAGTTCCCTTGCGAACAGGCCCTTTAGGTCCTCAAAAGCCTTTTGCATACCATGGTCCATGCTAGTGGCTGACCAGGCCATGGCTTCATTGTGGTTTGTCATGTGTGGAGCAGGTCTGTCAGGGGTAGAGCTACCGCTGCAAACGAGGGGATGAATTGCCTATAAAAGTTGGCAAATCACAGGAAGCTCTGCAGTTGATGACGGGTCTGTGGCGCTTGCCATTCCAGCACGGCCTTGACCTTGTTGGGGTCCATTTCCACCCCTTCCCCTGATCCTGTAGCTCAAGAAGTCCAGTCGGGTTTGATGGTAGTTGCACTTGGAGAGTTTGACGAACAGGTGTGCCTTCAATAGTTTCACCAGCACCTGTCTCACCAACCGAATATGTTCCTCCATGGTAGCGGTGTATATTAAGATGTTGTTTAGGTAGACTAGCACCTCACAGTACAGATGTTTGTGCAGCACCTCACTGAAGAGCTGCATAAATACTGTGGTGGCTCCCTGTAACCCAAATGGCATCACCCTGAACTGGTAGCTATCGTGGGCAGTTGATGGCCATCTTCCATTCATCCCCTCATTTGATGCGGACCCTGTAATATACCTTCCATAAATTCAGTTTGGTAAACACCTTCCCCTTCGCTAGATGAGCCAACAGGTCTTTCATAAGGTTACTTACAGGACCGCATACTGCCGCATAGTTCCCAGAGGGGTGGGGTCCCACAGATTGGGCCTCCTTCGGGTCCCGTCGGCCAGACAATGTCGGCTGGCGGGTCCTTGGGGAAGGGCCTTTTCTGTGGTGGCTCCGACCTGGTGGAATCAACTTCCCCCAAGATTCGAACTACTCCCACCTTGCCGACCTTCAAGAAAGCCATTAAAACTCTCCTGTTCCGGCAGGCCTGGGGTTGATGTCCCCGGGGGGGGGGGGGCGGGATACGATTGGGACATGCTGTGTGAATGTACTTATTTTTATTGTTATATTTATTGTTTTAATTTTGTACGCCACCCTGAGTCCCTAGGAATTGGGCGGCATATAAATTTTATTAATAAGTAAATAATCAGCAGGGGGTACATATTCTCTTTGTTTCTGGTGTCAATATTTCTGGTGTGTATTTATACATTGCCTTTGCAATATCGTGTCTGTTGACACATGTTCATATTAAACATTAACACCTGGTGTTAGTTTGTCTGTCTCACAGACCATGACACAAGTCAACATCTTTTCCACTACCACCTCAGGCTTCACTGTAACCCCTTGGCTTTTGCAGCTTCTTTTTTCTCACTCGAGTGCCCCATTGACCAAAGACACATGCAAATGAGCAACAAAAGTGAATAAAAGGCATTCAGCTGCCAAAGACTGCTCACTCATTCTGATTTATCTGCCTAGGGGCAAAGATTAAGCATAAACCTGTGTTCCCTGGAGATATGTTGAGCCAACTATTATATACACCTATTATATTGCACTACACTGATTGGAGGGAGGAATCTGTTAGCATTGACATTTTAGCACTACATGACTTACTGACCACAATGGGACAGTGTGATATGGAGAGTTAAAGATTTCCTCTGGGTCTGTAGTGGCGAACCTATGGTACACGTGCCACAGGTGGCATGCAGAGCCGTCTCTGTCGGCATGTGCGCCATTGCCACAGACAGAGGGATGCAGGACCGGGCTGCTCCCCTCCCCTTTTCCACGCATGCGAGTCCAGGAACAGCTGTGAGAGCTGGGCGAGGTGAGCAAAACCTATAAAAGGAGCAGGTTTTGGCGGGAGAGTGAGTGAGCGGCCTTTGGAAGTGACCAGTGGTGGGTTTCAAATCATTTAACAACCGGTTCTCTGCCTAGCCTTCCCTCCGTTTTGATTGGGCTGGGGTGCTCGGGGTGCTCAGCTGGGGTGGGTGCAGGAGGGTGGGCGGTCATCAGGTTCTGGCTGGGGGAAGGTGAGGGGGTCTGGCTGGGGGAGCAGGAGGGCCAAGATGCCTCCGCGGAGGAAAGACGCCCCCCGCCGGCTGAACCTTTCATTCACACTGCAGTCATGTAGGATTGCATAGAAGGGACAGAAGGCAGGGGGCTGGGGGGGGCGGCTGGCAGGGGGAAATCAGAGCCACCATCTTCCTTCCACAGTGCAGCCCCATCGGTGTGGGCAGAGACAGCCCCAGGACGACCGGAAAGGAGTTCTCACCCGGTGTGGGCCCTGTCTACATGGTGGCTCTGATGGGGGGGGCTGCTGCTGCTGCTCCTGCTGCTCTGAGCCCCTTGACCAGCCAACCACACAGGGGAACAGGAGGTGGAGGCCAGGTGTCTGGAGCTGTCTCGACTGCTCGCTGGCCGCAGCCGATCCTGCCTCAGCAGCCCAACAAGGCAGTGGATCTTGCACACTGGTTGCCCAGCCTTGTGGGACAGCAGCACCTGGGCAATGTGTGGGGCTGGGCAGGAGGCGGTGGCAGTGATCCCTGCATCGCCAGGCCCAGCCAGCACCAGATCTGGAAGTGAAGCTGTGCCACTCACATTCGCGCTGTTGGAGGCAGCAGTGGGGGAAGGTGAACTGTGGCGCACACCCACCCCTCCCTGCTGCCATCCCACATTGTCCCACATGCACATCCTGGAGGTGCACATGGGAAAATGTGGAGCAGCAGTGGCAAAGGGTGGGCGCATGCCAGATCCCACCTTCCCCCTGCCGCCGTCCCCACCAGCGCGAGGATGGGTGGCACAGCTTCGCTTCCAGATTTGCTGCCTACACCATCGACCCCTGCACACAGAGGCCAGCGAGTGCATGGGGGCTGATGGTATCTGTCAGCAGCCACAGCCTTCTGGCTCTCCTGCATCATGGTGAACTGGCCACATAACCCCATCAGCACGGGTGGAGACAACCCCGAGACGGCCAGAAGGAAGCCCTTCCCCAGCCTAGGCCCCATCCACTCGACGGTTCTGACAGGGGCGGCAGCTGCTGCTGCTCTGACCGTCCAACCACTCAGGGACGCAGGAGGAGGTGGAGGGGCAGATGGTGCGCAAGATCCGCTTTCTCGTCGGGCTGCTAGTGAATTACAATGGCACTGAAAAAAGTCACTTAGGACCATTTTTGACACCATTGCAGCATCACATGACAAATTTTCAGACGCTTGGCAACTGACTCCTATTTATGATGGTTGCTGCATCCTGGGGTCATATGATCACCTTTTGCTACCTTTTGACAAGCAAAATCAATGGGGAAGCCAGATTCACTTAACAACTATGTTACTAGTTTAACAACTGCAGTGATTCACTTAACAACAATGGCAAGAAAAGTCGTAAAATGGGGCAAAATTCTTAACAACTGTCTTTCTTAACAACAGAAATTTTGGCCTTAATTGTGGTGACAAATTTAGGATTATCTGTAGCTAGCTAGTTGATGGACTTAGCTCATCTCCATTATACTCTAGTTACTATATAAGACCTATGATACTTTATTAATCGTTGCTCAGGGCAGATTCCTGCTCACATGTGGGATTAGCAAAAATATGTAAATGTGTTTAAACTCCATTAAAGTCCTTTGAACATGGGTACTGTGATACCTTTCCTAAATTCACCAATCCGCTACTGAAAAGCCCCACCTCTACCTGACAGAGCCAAGAGCTTTGACATTTTTTTATAATTCTACCATCCATTAATAATATTTCCTTGCTGGCATAATTATTGTTATAACAGCCTGCATATATTTGGAACCTCTTATATACACAGCTATTAAGAAGAATCCTTTTTTTATACTACATTAACCTGAATTTTTGAAAAACTTGTGGGGTTTACACAAAATTTGGCTTACCTCTCTTGTGTTGATTGTCTGCAGATCTGAATTTTCTTAGATTTTTCTAAAAATAGTTAGAAATAGAAGAATTTGGCTTTGTATATTCTCAGTCATATCTCAGTCATATATGGGAAATTTTTCAAAATGATTCACTTCTTTTTAGCCCGAAGCTAGAGGGGTGGTGTGGGGGTGGTAAGTTAAATGTGATAATTACGCAAATGTCAATGATACTCAAGGGAAAACTTTGCAGTGTAAAAACCAAAATCACCTCATTTCACAATAAACAGCAGATGTTGAAGAAAAGCCATTTATAAGAAACCAAAACGTTTTTCACTGCTTCACTACATCTTCAAAGGGAGCTATATCCTATCTCCTGAAAGCCATATTATTACTATTACTATATTACTATAAAACCAAACAGTGTATAATTTCAGGGCATGTCTAATTTTGAAATGAATTGGGTTGATTTATATACTCTTAGCCACCTTTATGATGGTCGTTCATTGTAAAGCCCAGGTGAAACCGCTACTTTCAAGAGCTGGAAACGTGGCTTAAAATTATTTTCATTTGAAGGAAGTATGACTTCGAGAAGAAGGAATGAAAAATGAAGAATAAAACAATGTTTAACATATGTATCCAATAAACATATTTACAATAGCTAGCCAGCTACTCTAATTTCTGGGTCTGGATGCCCGCCCTTCAAGGTAGTCTAAACAGAAAACTAAAATAGAAATACTAGCACTACCTTTATTGTAAGGCCACAGGAACAAAATCGTGCAAGTTTGAAAGTACTTCTCTCCTCCTTTGCCTTTAATTTTTAGAGAATTGAGGAAGGTCCCTTGAGATGCTTTCTCCATCCCCCATTTCTTCTGTGGGCAGAGAAACTACTTTATCAGACCATTACTCAGGTTGCTGCTCTTCTGTCGCCCAAGCTTTTGTGTGTGTGTGTATGGAAAGTTCAGTTTGCAGATCACTGAATAATAATGACATTCAACCAAGCTAACAGCTGCTAATTGTATAGTAACATGGTTTAACAGCACAGAAAACAATGCTAGAATAAAATGACATAAAATACTATAATATTAAAGTGTATGAAAATGCTAAAGTGTCAATGAAGATGAAGATAAGGAAGCCTGAATTTTTCTCCACACCGTATTTGTCACCTATAACTCAGCTTGGGTCCTGTTTCAGGCTTATGGATCTGGTGTGTGTTTGTATTTAAATTAAAATATATTTATTGGAATTGCTTTCTTTTTTAAGCCCATTTCAATTTCTTCTTTTATGAAGATCCAGGAGCCAACTGGTCTCCTTCAAAGATTGGGGGAAAGATTGATCCTATCTGAACACTTACTTTGGTGTAAAGAGGATCAGTTTGGGGTTTTGGTCTGAGAAAACTGGAGAAAAACTATTTCTGTGCTAAGTTTTAGCTGGAATAAAACAGCATTATTCAGCTTGGAACATTGGATCAAAAAGAAGTCTAGAAAAGAAATATAATGTTCTACCTTCGTTTTTTGAGCCTCGAAAAACAATTTTGTCTGTTATTTGATAGACTGCCCCTGGCCCAATTCACTCAGAACAAGGCTTGCCAAAGACAAATACTGGAGTAAAAAAAATGGGATTGATAGGAGTATCTTGGAAATATGTAAATAATCCATTGGCAGTTTGCAAACTTATACTAGATGTATGATTTCTAGGCAGATATAAAACAGTTTAAATATTGCTCCCCCCCCAAAAAAAAGAGGGAAAAAATTAATACTAAGATTGTGTATGATTGAGACAGAAGGCTGGGCTAATTAATTCCTTGCCTACTTAGAATCTCTATGCTTTCACAATACAGCACTATTATTCATCCTGCCCAGTTGCAGGAATACAGAACAGAAAATCAGAGTGATAGCTTCCCAAAACATCATATGAACAGACCTTTCTTGCAAATGAGAAACTAGGAAGAGTGATAGGCAAACCTCCCCTGAATCTTCTCTCAAAAGCCCCAGAATGTGAAGATGTGTAGTTATTTCTTTAGACATTATCTAACCTGTAGAGAGCCAGATTGGTGTAGCAGCTGCTGACACTGAGTAGAAACTATGGTTGGAGACTGTGAGTTCGAGTCCCACCTTGGGCACAAAGCCAACAGGGTAACCTTGGGTTACTTACTCTCTCTCAGCCCTAGGAAGGAAGGAAGGGCAAACCACTTCTGCAAATGTTATGAAGAAAGCTGCAGGGACTTCTCCATGGAGTCACCAAGAGTCAAGATCAATTTAAAAGTGTGTGTGTGTCTGTGTGTGTGTGTACGAGCACATGCGCGCACACACACATACACAACCCAGGCCTATAAGATATTGCTTAGTACTACTTCCTTCCTTGGCTGAGTAGTCTGTAAAAACCAAACTGCAGCTATTATGTAGTGTAAGCAACCATGTTAAATCAAAACTGATGGCAATTGTATTTTAGTTGCTACCAATCCTGCAGAAGCAACGGATGGAAACTAATCAAGGGGAGAAGCAACCTAGAACTAAGGAGAAATTTCCTGACAGTTAGAACAATTAATCAGTAGAACAACCTGTTTCCAGAAGCTGTGGGTGCCCCAACGCTGGAAGTTTTAAAGAAGAGATTGGACAGCTATTTGTTTGAAATGGTATAGGGCAGCGGTTCTCAACGTTTGTGTGACGGCGCCCCGTCACACAAACGTTATGCGCATGCGCGGCGGCGCCCCCCACGCGCAGCGTGCATGGGGGCGCCCCCCCCACGCGCGGCGTGCATGGGGACGGGGCCCCACGCGCGGTGTGCATGGGGACGGGGCCCCCGCGCACGGCGCGCATGCGCAGCGCCACCCCCCGGAGGTGCGCCGCCGCCCCCACGCGCGGCGCGCATGCGCGTCGCCGGCCCCCAAAGGCGTGGCGCCGCCCCCCAAAGGCGTGGCGCCGCCCCCACGCGCGGCACACGTGCGCGGTACCGCCCCCCGGAGGCGCGGCGCGCCCCCGGAGGGGACAAAATGGCAGATCGCCGCCTTTGGCGACCCCCGAAAAGAGGTCGATCGACCCCAAATGGGGTCGCGACCCATAGGTTGAGAACCGCTGGTATAGGGTTTCCTGCCTGAGCAGGTGGTTGGACTAGATGACCTCCAAGGTTCCTTCCGACATCATCATCATCCTCATCATCATCACCACCACCACCACCACCACCATCATCATCATCGTTATCATCATCATCATCATCATCATTATTATTATTTTAGAACAACAGTAGGACTCTTTCCATATATAACGGAATATTTGGTCTCCCTTTAGCTTGCTCTTGCACATAATCCTTAAGGATCCAGAGACCCTTCCTCCAATTCTTGAAGACCATACATCTTCCAAAGCACAGGCTCTTGCCCCGACACAGTAGACTTGCTTTCAGCTACCATTGTGCTCACGATCTTCCATCTCCATGAGGGCCAGAGAAGCCATACAGCTGCTAAACTGCATGTGACTGCAGAAGATTGGTTTGTACTCTGACTTCTGGAAAGCCAGGGGACTGTCAAAGCCAGGGGGAAAGGGTTGCTCTGTTCAGTCCCTGCCCATCTTCTCCTTCTGAAACTGACCGTTCTGTAGCTGTTGTTCTTCTAGAGAGACCCCAGGACAAATACTCTAGGAATGCACATTTTCCCAGATCAGATCAGTCAACAGGTTTAACTTGTTACCGCTGCAGTTGCTACCATGTGAAAGTGATTTGTTACCCACGATAAGCTGCCTGATTCTCTTTTCCCTCAGGTGATACATGCAAGGTATATGTGAAAGAGGATTCTAACTAATGCATCACCTAGACCAGACAGCCACTTGTCTGAAATGATATAGAGTCTCCTGCTTGAGCAGGGGGCTGGCCTAGAAGACCTCTAAGTCCCTTCCAGCTCTATTCTATTCTGATCTTGATTCTATGCCATCAAAAGTAACTCTGACCATTATTAGCTCACATAGGAGGAAGTTTTTCTCCCCTCTTTCCAGGCATTCATCCATCTCTCTAGAAATATCCAAATAAGTTGAGTTATTGTAAAAGGTACCCACAAAAATAATCCTCTCCAATTACCAAGTTAGTTAATACTTACCTAAAAAAAATCACAGGGATCTATCCAAGCATTTCTGCAAGCAGCAACAGCCTCTCTGACACATTAAACTAAGCGTTGCCCGTTTCCCTGCAGGACTGGTAGGACTGGTCGGCAGCTCGCTAAGGATCATATAATCCCATTCTGTGGAAGGCGGAAACATACATCAATTGCTTATTTTGTTATCAGTTGATTATTATAAAACAGATAGCTAGTCATCTTTCTTGTCAGGAAGTTTGCCCTTGGATTTTGCCAGCAGCCCACCAATTATGATCCTGTGCAATTTCTGTTACTGCTAGAAGCCAAGAAATGAACTAATGCAAATCAATTGGCCGACATTTGGTCTCCTCTTGAATCCTAGCAAAAGAGGGGGGAAAAAATAAAGAGAAAGAAAAAAGAAAGTTAAAACGTTAATTTAAGGTAGCTGCCTGGCTCATTTTCCAAATCGTTGAGTACTTTAACGTTTTTGGGAGAAGGAAGTTACAGATTATACCTCCAAATTCAAAGTATGAGTTTGCAAAAAAAAAAAAAAGAAGCAACCACCGGCAGCTACATGCATGTGACCAAAACCAAGCAAATAACAGCTTGTCTGTTGCCAGAAGGATGCTTAATTTTATTGGCTCCGTACTGTTTATACCAAAAACATATTGCCCAGGCAGAGGCTGATCAGGTCTTTTTTGCTTTTCAAGGAAGAAGCTTTCCCATTTTATGACAGCAAACAGGCAGCTGTCTAGGACTGTACCCCTCAACCTGAGGGATGCCACACTGACTTCTCCACTTAGAGATTATGTCCCAATTGGCAACTCTGTAATCAATGGGCAAGCCCCTCCCCATTCAGTTGTAAATACCCACAGCATGCATCCCAAATACCTGATGATAACCAATAATCAAAATTGGGATGAGATTTGCTAATCAAATCTAATGTATATTGGCCTACTGTTTCAGAATGTACAGTATTTATTCATTCATTCAATTTGTATGGCCACCTCCTCTTCATAGTGACTCTGGGTGACCTACAGCATATGAAAATATGGTCCCTTCCAACTTTATTATTATTATTATAAAATAATTTTTAAAGATCTGCAACAATAAATAACAATAAGATCAGCTCCAAATCCATAATTCCAACAAACATGCCTATTTCCAAGTTTCTTTTTTCTTTTTCTCAACAATTTCAGGCTTTTCTTGGTTCTGTCTGATCCTGCTTTGAGGACTGGTAAATCTAAAATTAGAGCTAATATATCTTGATGTTAAAATCCAGGTGAGTGCTAGATGGCAACAAAGATATACCAAAATGTAAAGTGCAAATATGATAGCTCAGCTGAAATAAAACACTAGCATTCAAGTCAGGGTCACATGAATAATTCAATTCTTACTCAAAATTGAGTCAGGATTTTTCCAGATGAAAACGTTAAAACAAAGGGTTATCAAAAATGTATTACAGAAGTCTTATTTAAAGAACAACAGGGGAAAATCCATATGTTTAATTGTGAAACTTTTGATTCTGCTGCACTTAGATGACTCTCTACCCAAATTTCTGGTATTTTCCATTTCTGGGGGGAAAAAACCCTCTGGAAAGCCACTATCAGTCAAAGTAAACAATTTCAGGTAAATTCATCTATTTTAATATACCCACAAGGATCTGATCTTGTGCTTCTAACAGCTGTTCATCAGTAGATATTCACATTATTGTATACCACTTACCTCCCTGCTCTGAATCAAGATTAAACATTTGCTAAAGGCACAGGAACACATAAATGTTTTTTTTTTCTTGGTGGTTAGCAAACTTTTTTTATTAGAATTACTATTCTCAAAATCCAAAAACAAGAAGTCCCAAGAAGTTTTATGTTTTCACAGCTATTCTCAATGAAATTGAGAATTTGTATCTGTAGAAGCTCCATTATTCACAGGAAAAATAGCTGCACGAGGCTGTGAGGGGCAAGGACTGCTCTCTGATTATCAGTATTTTTCCAGAGAGGGGTTCTGTACTTTTAACATGGAAGAAAGAGGCTTGTAATTTGTAGTTCACACCACAACAAAAATCACTTTTGCTGAAATCTAATCACGAACCAACTAAAAATGTAGAATTTCCTAATAGAAAATTAAACTGGTATCCAAGATGATTGTAAGCTTGGGATATACGGTATCATATCCATGCAAGAGTATAATCAAAAGTAAGATACATCATATAGCATGGAACAATATTCAGTTCTGTCAATTAATTTCCCTCCCTGCTATAAGACTTAAAGGGAAAATAATACTGATTGTAACTAGTCATTCTCAGATATGGACTTTTAGATGAAGACTAAGTACAAATAATTTGATTATTTCACTGACTTCAAGGTCAAGAACAGAAAACAAACTACATTAAGGTTTAATGTGTTATATAAACCAGGTCTGTGAAACCTATATTTATTATTAGCTACCTAACAATTGTTTATGAATGTTCACAGTTAATAATTGGCTTCTTTCTTGCTATCTTATATCCAGATTTCCACATAATCTAACATTTGGATTAATCTGTAAACTTTCATCGACCACAGTCTATAAAGGAAAGTTTATCCTGTGTTAGAATTAAATATAATAATTTTGTATTCCCAGCATTTATAATATTAATACTACTTATTAATTTATAGTAATACAGACATAGCCTGTATTATTAGCAATAATATCAAAGAGAAATGAAAGATAGCAAGAAAGAGGCCAATTATTAACTGTGAACATCCATAAACAATTGTTAGGTAGCTAATAATAAATATAGGCTGCAAGTGTATAAATAGTCAACTTAGCCAAATGTAGTTTGCCCGTTTATGGCTTAGCATATTCTGTGAACTACCCAACAATACTATGTGAGCGCACTGATTTTATCACACAATGTGTGTTAAAAGCCTTTGTCCCCTATTCAAGCCACAGGAAATAAAGGGATGTCCAGGAACAATTTTCTAAAAAACAAACAAACCATTAAAAGATCATAATTAATTTGTCCTAAGGAAATATTAATATCATGTCTTATTTGACAAGAAACATGTTTTGTAATGTGTCTGTAACATTTTACCATTTGATACACGGAAGCAACCTGCTTCTAAAAGTACATTTTGAGATACCTCTGAAGAGGACTAAACCGTATATAAACTCATTTGGCATCATGCTGTTTTTTTTCCCCCCTCAAGCACTTGCATTTTTTTGAAACCTATGGCACATGCTGATTTAATCTGACCATCTGGGTTAAGTAATCTTCTCTTTGCTTGTCAAACTGAAACCCATCCCGCCCTTCTCTAGCTGCCTCATCCAAGCGGCCTGTGCCCATAAGCTCTGCTCTCTTTCAGGCTTTTCACTGCGTCCGCCCTTTAGGGACGATATTCCTGCTTAAAGTCTGAGCTCTTAGTAACAGAAGCAGGCAGGATAGAAAGAAAGGGAAAGAGAAAACTCACCTTGGTTCTGCATCAGGTGCCTTTCCTTCTTAAGCAGAAGAGGTTGACAGCTGTAGATCTTTATTGACTTGTTTTACTGTAAAGGGTTGGGCAAAATGCTATGAGGCAGGAACACAGGCAACCCTACACCAATAAAAATCCCTCTGAGATTATTGGTAGGGAGGAGACAGGTTCGTGTTGCGTGAGTATGTAAATAAAACTTGTGGAATCGTCTATACTTGGCTCTAAATACCCCAAGTAAACAGCAAATTTCTTTACTTTGCATTGAGAATGTGTTTCTTTTAGCCATACAAGTTTTGCAAAAGGTCCCAGCAATGAAAACATTGCTACCCAAGCCATCACTTTTCAAAATTCAGCTGATGCCCGCTTCCAAAAATTGTCCTGGTTTGCACAATTAACTAGGTTAATACATACATACTGTAGTTGCCTAGTTTGTGTCTCATAAGTGCACCTATAATGTTATACAAATTCAGTATCTGTAGTTGCACTATATTTCAGCCTAGCTTATATGAATGCAACCTATGGAATTATTTAGTTACTATGTGAACCCCCAAAACTGACTTAATTATGGATCAATTAACTAGAGGTAAGAGTCTTGCACAATCTTGACATTATCTTTCTGGGTGTATTGCTGATACTTCTCATCTTCTTGGGTGTGTATGCCATTGTTTATCCCACTTACATGATGGAAGAACCAGTAACAAGAGTTATTGGTGTTGGCAATCAGCAGCCTCAGGAGGAACAATTTGGCTTTACTAGTGCTTACATAAGCTTATAGGCCACCAACCCTTCAGTGTACTGCAGCAAATGTCACATGACTCATACCAGGAAATGAAATCAAAGAGCCATGCTATTGAAATGTTGTTTGGCCAACGCGCGGCTTCAGGTTAAGTGCTTTATGGGCAGTGCGCAGCCCCCTCTGAGAGCATTATCAACAGGAACCCTTTCCTTTCTCTGAAGCAAATGCAGAGGTCACTCTATGGTCACTGTGCAAATCAGACGGATGAAAGCAGTACCTAGGACAGTGATGGCGAACCTTTTAGAGACTGAGTGCCCAAACTGCAACCCCAAACCCACTTATGTATCGTTAGGTGCCGGGAGGGCATGGCCCATTGGGTGGGTGTGGTCCATTGGGTGGGTGTGGCTGCGGTGGTAACGGCAGACTGGGTGGGACTAAAAAGTTCAATCAATCAATTCAAACTTTGCAAGATCTTTTTTTTTCCGTGAGAAGTTGAAATTGATTGATTGATTGAACTTTTGTTTGCACACAGCTGTGGAGGCCTAAAGCGAAAAGGTTTTATCAAAACCCAACTGAAGGCCTAGGACTGGGGTGACGGTGCGTGTGCCCACAGAGAGAGCTCTGCGTGCCACCTGTGGCACGCGTGCCATAGATTCGCTACCACGGACCTAAGAGGTGCCAAGTTGGTCCCATGGTTCCCAAAGAAGGGAACTGCAATCTCATGAAAGACATAGGCCATGGGTCTTCAAACTTGGCCCTTTTATGATTTTTGGACGTCAACTCCCAGAATTCCTCAGCCAGCATGCCTGGCTGAGGAATTACGGAAGTTGAAGTCCATAAGTCATAAAAGGGCCAAGTTTGAAGATCCCTGGCCTACACCTTTCAATAAAATGGGTTCATTGAAAAAGGTGCTATCAGGCTTCTCTACATTTTTTGCCACCAAAAATTAACACACCTTTCCTCCTGCAGTGATGTTTTAGGAAGAACCAACATAATTGCTGTGAAAGTGACCAGCAGCAAGGCAAGTGGAGAGTAAGTTGATTGTGTGCCTATTTATAAGCAAAGCCTACTGTAAAATAATTGCATTTATGCCTGTTCAAAAGTTAGTCACTGTGAACATAATGGAACGTCTGCTAGACACAAGGGTAGGGATCCTGTGATTCTCTAAATCCTCCCAGCCAGCATGGTTAATAGTAAGGGAAACTTGAGGACTATAATTCAGCAACATTTAGAGCCACAAGTTCCCTTCCTTTGTGGAGAGGATAACCAAAGGTCAGTATTTTCCAATCTCAGCAACTTTAAAATATGGGTACTTTGACTAGAAGACAAGCCAATACCACCTCTCCGGTCTAAACCCATAGTTTTCAGCTTGTTTTAATCTTCTGTAATTTTAATTATTTTTACTATTTATAATTGTTTTTACTTCCATATGTTTTATTATAAGCCACTCAGAATCATCTCAAACTGTGAGATGAGTGGCATCTAAATTTGATAAATAAAGATTAAAAATAAAGTCCCAGAATTTCCTAGTCAGCATGGCCATTGCTAAGGAATTGAAATTCACTCATCTTAAAGTTGCTGAGGTTGGGAAACAGCCTTAAAAGGAAGACTGGGCTTTAAACTGGCAGCCTCTTTGAAATCTCTAGAAGGCTGATAGCAATTCAAAACATTCTACCTGTCTCATTCAGGTCTGAACAGGTAAAATATTACCGGTAGTCCTCAACGTACGACCACAATTGAGCTCCAAAACATCTGTTCATAAGCAAAGCAGCTGTTAAGTGAGTTTTGCACCATTTTACAACCTTTTTTGCTTTCGCTAAGCGAATCGTGCAGTTGTTAAGCGAATCTGGCTTTCTCCATTGACTTGTCAGAAGCTGGCTGGGAAGGTTGCAAATGGTGATCACATGATCCCAGGACAGTACAAGTATCATAAATACATGCCAGTTGCCAAGTGAATTTTGATCAAGTAACCAGGGGGAAGCTGCAACAGTCATTAAGTGTTGAAACAGATCATAAATCACTTTTTTCAATATGTTGACCCACTGAACCAAAGCAATGTGATGTCATGTATTTTATTTCAGTCTCAGCAAATCAAAAGATAGCCTCACATTCAAGAGAGCCATTTCACATCCATATTAACAAAAATTTCTCCAAAATACATACTGGTTTTTAATATAACAATTTTGTTACATCACTTTCGTTTAAATAGCAAATCTAGGGGAAAAAATGCATGGCTTTTAAAATATATCATAGGTCAGCTAGAAACCATTTGCAAAAACCATACCGTATTAAAGAAACCTAAAATAGGCTATAGTCAGTCTGCAAACCTAGTTATCAGTTAAACGGTGTTTCAGTTTCTAAAGCAGTGTTTCTCAACCTTGACAATTTTAAGGCATGTGGACTTCAACTCCCAGAATTCCACAGCCAGCATTGCTGGCTGTGGAATTCTGGGAGTTGAAGTCCACATGCCTTAAAATTGTCAAGGTTGAGAAACACTGTTCTAAAGGAAAGAGTGCCGGAACACTTTTGCTGAAAAAGCAGCTGAATGTTTATGCTGCAGTACTTCCAACCTGAACTGAGATGGCTGTTTCTCAAATCCACAGACGTGTAGCAGTGTTCAGAGTAAAGCAAATGGGTCATAAATAAGTTTGCTTGTTCACAAATTTTAATAGCAAAATATTTGTGCTAAGTCAGGGAAGCAAAAACTAAGCATTGCAGAAGCATGCAATAAGATCATCCTATTCGGCCATGCTCTCTTTACCATATGCTGTGTTTTGCCCCAGGACAATCTGGAGCAAAAGTCAGGAAGCAGTTTGTATCTACTGTCGAGCAGCAGAGAGCAGAGATGCGCCCAAAGTTGGAAATAACCGGTGCTGCTTCAAGCACTACATACTGTAGAACTTGGACTGAAGCCAACAGCGAAAATATTGGCAGTACTGGAAATGGCAATTTCAATTTTTTTTTATTATCAAGGACAGTAGTTTTAAATAGTTTTGAATCTATTTCATTTCAGCATTAAATCAGATTCAATGTAGATTTTCATTGATTCAGACGGATGAGGGGATGCCAGCACTAGGATTTCAAGTTTTCTGATAAGTTTCCAAAATGTTTGGAAGCCATACATCTAAAGACCTACTGCCATAGAGAATTCCTAAAATCCTACCTCTTCCCTTCCCCCCCCCATTTTGTTTCCAGAAAAGAATTTTGCCTTATTGTGATTTGTGTATGACATTTTACTGATAAGAATTGTACTTGAGGAAAGAGGAAATGCACAAACCCTTTGACTTTTTTTTTAGCAAAGCCTTTGAATTTGTCAAGTTAAACCAAAGAGTTATTGAACTGAAAGATAATCTGATGTTCACCACATCAGTGAGTGATGGCTGAAAACAATAAAAAAAAAATCTGTTCCTTCAAGCTGCAATACACTCAAAATAAAAGAAACAATATCTAGGCAATAATAAATTAAATACATAAATAAGCTTATATATGACTATTTTCTTTCTTAGAAACCGTATCACCTACTACTAGGATGATCAGCCATTTGGTCAAATCAACTACCCTGTTAACTATAGAGGTAAAGATGCTTTCCTGGCTAAAACTACGCAGCCACCACTTTGTCACTGTAAAACTGAAAGAGCCAAGGTATTAAAGGAATAGACAAGACTGTCCATAGTGTGAAGCATTTGTGCCACCATACATGCATCTTGTAGAAGAAATGGCAGAAAATTCCATTGTCCAAGTAGAATCAAATGTCTAATACATGCTGTTAAATTTGTCAGAAGATCAGTGAACTTCTTTAATCACAGGATGGCAGGGTTCATGCAACGAAGAACCAATCAAAAGATCACAGAGATAATTTTCTTCTGAAGCTTCACGGTGAATGAGCACCTAAAATATCAACACCTACTAAATTCAATAGCTGCTGATGAGTTTCAACTGAAGTAGTCTTTCTTCAAGAAAGAATGTTCTCTGGGGCAATTAAAATGTGGGATGGGGAAAAGAATTCTTCATTATATCATACAGAGGAGAACGAAATATTAAGTGTCTGTGCATTATCAATCCAGAAAAATGTTAGAAACACTTTCCTACTGGCCCATATATCTATCATTTCTATCCATGACAGATACATGTACTGGGGGGGGGAGACAAGGCGGCTCTTATCGCTGTCATATCCCTAATCAATATTTAGCCATATGGCAATAAAAGATGCAACGTGTGATGATGTTTCTCTACTGGGTTTTCTTGTCCTCTGGAGGAAAGTAAGGAGGTGGAGGAGGCTGGTCCTAAAATGTTTGAGAGGGGAAACAACAACAACAACTTCAGTTTATTATTACACATATTTCAACTGCAGAACATTGTTGTAAGCTTTATATATATAACAATATATAAATTAGACTTATACTGCATGAACCATGTTCTTGAATTGACAGGGAGATTTCTCTTCTGCTATCATGTAATTTTAAAAAGCTTGTTTTTTGTCATATCTGAGGCACCTTTTACGTCATCTATTCTTGCCTTACTGGAGTCGGGCAGTGTTAAATAAATAAATATGGCTCCCTAATAATTAGGCTCAGGTGCTAAGTGTTCTTGTATATATAGATGTAAGAAGCTATTACGTACAAGTTGGAAGATTATTTAAGGCAATAGGGACATACATGATAAAGGGCCCTTGGATATGGTCTGAGGGCATACATTGCAGCCAACTTGCTGAACTAAGAAATTTAGGCTGAGTTAGTGCCTGGGCAGAAGAGCCCTTGGGAATCCTTTCAAAGTTGCTGTGAGTTCCATGATGAAAGAAAAGATGGTACCCACGAACACTGTCAATCAAGTTTGTGTTAAGGGCTGTTCATGTCCACGAGAGGTACAGCAAAGGCAAAAGCATTGTGGAACTGGATTTTTTTCAAAAGCAAATCAATTCCCCTTATAAAGTCTCTGCAATATAATCTTATTTATTAAAATTAAGTAGATAATTATGGAAAAAATACAATTTCTGTAAAACATTCTCAGGTAGAGCAACACATCTGTTAAAACCAGGGGTCGGCAACCTTAAACACTCAAAGAGCCACTTGGACCCATTTCCCAGAGAAAAGAAAACACCGGGAACCTCAAAACTTGTGCACGCACACACATATGCGCACGAGGGAGGGGGAGCTTGATTGAAGAGTTTAATTAAAAAGAAATAGAGGCTGCTATGCATGAGTTCTCTCTCTCTCCTCCCCCTCTCTCTCTCCCTCTCTTTGTCTCCCTCCCTCTCTCTCTCTCCCCTCCCATCTTCTGCTCACCTGGCAAGCTGGCTTCATGCTATTCTCCAACAAGCTGACACACATTCTTATTGGGCTGGCTCTCTGGACCAGTGTGTGTGTGTGTGTGTGTGTGTGTGTGTGTGTGTGTGTGTGTGTGTGAGAGAGAGAGAGAGAGAGAGAGAGAGAGAGAGAGAGAGAGAGAAGAGAGAGCTGCTGCTTCCTGCTTCCTCCTGAGACGCAGCAAAGACAGGAACCCCGCCCAATAAGCTTGTCAGCTTGTCCGAGAACAGCGTGAGGCTGGGAACCGCAGGAGAAGGCTCAAAGAGCCACATGCGGCTCTGGAGCTGCAGGTTGCCAACCTGTGGTTAAAACTATATACACCTAATCACCACCTGTATCTCCCTCATTCCCCAGCCCTTTCTTTAAAGATCTGAGCATACATATATTTATGTCCTCCACAACAAATATAGACAGTAGATTGGGCAGAAAGCCAATGAAGCTGCAGTTGAGAAATCAGAAAGAAGGAAGTGGAGAAGGCTGGAACACAGAAAAGAAGAAGTGGAGGATACATAGGCAAATACCTATAAAAATTTACAGAGAAGAGGAAATTATCATTGGGATGGGAAAATGCAAAAAGACCCCCAAAACAATAACTCGCCAAGGTTAAAGGCAGAAGGAAAAAAGAAGAAAAAGAGAAAGCAGCGTGTGTTAGGTGCTTTCAAAGAAAGGACATGTGGAAGTTTTGAGCTGCAACCAAGAGACACACTTGCTTAACACTTGCTCTAAATATATTTTTGAAGGTTACCATGGGCATGTAGACATTATGAGGGTTCCCTGGGTTGTAATATGCACTGGCAGCAGCTTCTGCAGCCTTAGCTTCAGCTGCAAAAAAAAAAAAAAAAAGTATTAGTGATTATTATTTAATTGATTTATATAGCTGCCCATCTCACACTTGTGACTCCTAGGTGGTTTACAATAAAAATAGATAAAACAGATACAGTATACCAAATAAAAACACATAGCACCCGAGCATCCCACAATTGTATAATAGCTGTTTTTAGGATGAGTTGCATAGATTCAAACAGAGAGGAAAAAAAAAAACAGAGCACACTGGAGTTTGGAAATAAGAGTTGGGTGTGCACGTTGTACTCAGCTGCTGAATAAAATGATTTGTTTTCGTTTTGGTTAACATGTTGCGTGAATTTATATATATTATGACTTGTAAACCGTGATTTATGTTTAGCACGTGGTAGGAATCTAGGTAGTTTTGGTTTATTCAAGAAAAAAACTTATACATCATATTTAAGTCTGATTGATAACTATTAAAGTGGAAATTAGCATTCAATCTGAATGTACAAATCATTGTCATATGCTGTGCTAGATCAAACCAAACAGATCACACCGTTGTTTAATACAATGTATAATCCCTGTTGTAATTCTCTTGCCATTTTCACCCAAAGCTGCCATATGTTCTTTCCTAGAGGAATGCAATCAGCTATTCAAATTCTGTGAAATCTTCTAAAGCAGGGGTGTCAAACTGCCGGCCCGTGGGCCGGATGCATCATGCAGAAACCGCGCCCCACCCTAGCTCCGGCAATGGGGGAAAAGTTGCAATACGTTGCGACACATCACGTGACGTTGCGAATTTGACACTCTTGCTCTAAAATTATTCAAAGGACAAGGCTAAAACAAGGCAGCAGTTTGTCTCATCCAATTCTTGCTTCAAAGATGGAATATTGCTTTAGCAACCACTTACAGTATTTTAAGTCATCCGCTTACAGTATTTAACTCAATTCTCATTCTTCCCTAAATGCAGCGTAAGTACAGAAAGCCTACTATCCCTTAATCACATAATAGGATTATTCTGTTTAGCTAAAAAGAGCTTGTTTCTACCTACTTCCAATAGCAAACAGAGCACCATTCTATATTTCGTTATGTAGTCCTGCTCAGTATTCAACTCACACCTACTGCAGGAATAGGTTGCAAGAACTGTGATACTTACTATTCTAAAAAACTAGACATTTTTAAAAACTATAGGCAAGATAAAAAGCTGAAGTCTTTCCTGATTCACTTCTTCTCCAAGCAGATCTCAAGTTTTTTGTGCACAAGAGGAAGATTATACCTTCTGACATACTGTCACTTTATAACAATAACGTGTCAGTTGCCAAATACTGACTCCAGCACCAGACACCGGATTTGCCTCTAAAATTTTCTCTCTCTAGTTCTTTGCTAATAGTAAATATTATATAGTGAAAGTTTCCTCTTTGATTTGTAATATTTGTTGAAAATTCCTAGTCTGTGCTGTTGGACAAGATTATAATATGGTGTCAAATGAATAAGGAACAGTTTAACACAGTGATGGCAACCCTTTTAGAGACCAAGTGCCCAAACCGCAACCCAAAACCCACTTATTTATCACAAAGTGCCTGGGCTGCATCAGCATTGTGATGCCCTCGGAGGATGGGGGTGGGGCGTGGCCCACTGAGTAGGCGTGGTTGCGGCGGTCATGGTAGACTGAATGGGCGTGGCCAGGGTGGGTGTGGCCACCTTGATGTTGCTCGTGGGGGGGAGACCTGTGAGGGCTGGACAGGATTGGGGGAGACCCAGGGGGTCTCTGGTGGGTGAGGCAGTGGACAGGAAGCTCGTCCTGCAGGGTGAGGCAGGGGTGCCATTGCTATGGGGCAAGGCGAGGCAGAGGTGGCTGCTGCCTGACACCCTCAGCCCCCACACAAAGAGGCCAGCGAGCACATGGGGGCGTGCTCTACCATCTCTACTCGAGCTTGCTAGCCAGCTGCTTCCCCTCCTTTGTGCTGGGTGGGGCTACCACTCTGGGCACCAGCAATGGCATAATGGACCTGTGTAAGCTAGCAGCGGCAGGTGTGCCCACAGAGAGGGCTCTGAGTGCCACCTCTGGCACATGTGCGATAGGTTCGCCATCACTGGTTTAGGAGAAAAGGAAACCAATTCAAGTATGTAATGTTATTTATATAATAAACTGTCTATGAGGCCTGACTTTTGGCACACTTTATATACATATATACATAGGAATATATGCCCTGCATGCATTTCTTTCTCTTGTACATTTTTTCTTATTCTTCTTTTTTGATAACTGTGTGGTTTATTGTTTTTATTTTGTATTCAATTAAAAACATGTTTAAAAAGTCATATAAATAAAACTTGTGCTTACAAAAGTATACAAAAATATCATATAGCTTTTTCATAAGTTTTATTTTTATATATATTATAGATATCTTTTTTGTATATATAAATATAAAGTTTTTAATTTAATTTTTATTTTTTTTTATTGCTTAAGCCTATATTCTGCTCTGGGAAGCTCAGGGGGGGGGGAAGGGAGGGTTTTTGGGAGGGGTGTGGGGTGGGGTTTTTTTTTTTTATATGTATTGTTTAATTTTCTTTTTCTTCTGTATATGTTGTTTTTTGTTTTGTATTGTCCTTGTTTTTCTTGTAAAATTTATAAAACTTTTAATAAAAAAAAAAAAAATAAAACTTGTGCTATTATTCTGTCTATGTAGAACAGTGGTTCTCAACCTGTGGGTCGGGACCCCATTGGGGGTCGAACGACCATTTCACGGGGGTCGCCAAACAAGGCTGTCTGCCATTTTTTCCCTTTTCTTTGGCCACGCCCCTGGCACCCGGTGATGTATAAGTGGTTGGGGGTCACCACAACATGGGGAACTGTATTATGGGGTCGCGGCATTAGAAAGGTTGAGAACCACTGATGTAGAAATTAATCACCTGCTATCTCTACTGAAAACTCAGCCCTTCCTGGATTTATGTATGATGAAATTTGCTGGATGTTTTGCCTTTTTGTCGGTGATATATAGGGTTTTAAAAAAACCCTTTTCTTTTCTTTATGAACTGGATTTGCAAAGCTTGGCAATAACAAAAGGCAATTCCTTTATAAATAGAATTAGTTTGAGGTCCTACAAAGGAAATTAATAAAGCTTCAACTGAGCCATTGTTAGAAATTAGCCACCTGAGTTAAAATTACATCTCTACAGAATGGCTTTCCAAAATATATTTTCTTTTAAATGGGTTTTATAAACAAAACAAATGCTAATACAGTTTGCTAAGCCTAGCACAGCCTTTCCCAATCTGGTGCCTTCAAAATGTGTTGGTTGGGATTAATAGATAGTATACTAACATTCCAGCATGCACAAGTCAGAAAGGTTATATATGTGAACCCTGATTCAAAGGCTTTGCGCCATTCTATCATTGTTCAGAATATTTCTTACCTTGGCTTTTGTGCAAGCATCTTACCTGCTGGAGTGGTGGGAAGATCTGGGCCAGCAGCAGGTGGTTCCATAGGCCCAGGATAGGGAGGAGGTGGAAGCTGCATGTATCCCATAGCACCATCCACTGGTGGACCAGGATACAATTCTAGGACAATGGAAAAAGACAGCGTAAAGCACTGCAAAAACAATTAGCTGAGTCAAACCCCAGAATCACTGAAATACTTGTTCTCAAACTGACCTTTTTAGGTATTTTAAAGAGCCCAATTTATTTTAAAAAAAGAGGAATTCAGAAATTGATATGTTATATCATAATATAGCTCATGTTGCAATCAGAGCTATTTCAGATTTATTTCTGACCATGATAACTGCTTCCAGCTTATCCAGATTGGCTCCCTAGTGATTACATGGATCTGAAAACTTTAATCAACCTATAAAAGGTATGGAGAAGTATTGGGATGAGAATGAACCATATATTCCTCAGTAGAAACTTTGTAATAACTAAAAGTAAGTTCTTATATACACAAAACAAGCCTTGCTCACACTTAACAAGGGTGTTGCCCATTTGGGTGGCAATTGAAAATAGGATGAAATCAGGATGAAAAAGTGAACCTTATTGGGTTTCCCTATCGTATTTCTAAATGAAACATTAATTAAAAGTTGCTATTGTTTACTTTCAAAACTCACCAGGTGGTGGTGGTGGATAAGGGTATCCTGAAGGAGGAGGAGGATACATTCCATTGGTAGCAAGTGGTGGGAAGGTATAGCCCCCATTTGGCATGTATGAGTAACCATAGGCTCCATTGGGAACTTCCCCTCTTGAAGCTAGAAAACAAAGATGAGTGAGTTAATTCAACCAAACTGACACAAAGTGTTTCAGGAATACAACAGCCAGAACCCACTTCCACAAGACAATGGCACACATGAAGCTCACTGAGATTACAATGCCAATTAAATCAACAATTAGCAATATCAGTAATACAGGTCTTGAGTCTCCTCTAGCACTCTTATACAGATAGTCTTGAACTTACAACCATTTGTTTAGAGGTCATTTGAAGTCACAGTGGCACTGACAAAAGTGACTTACAACCAATCCTTACACTTATGACTGTCACAGCATCCTGTGGGTGCATTGCAACTGCCATGTATTTATGACAATTGTAGCGTCCTGAGGTGATGTAATCACCATTTGCAACCTTCCCAGCTGGCTTCTGACAAGCAAAGTCAACAGGGAAAACTGGATTCACTTAATGACTGCATGATTCACTTAGCAACTACAGTGATTTGCATATCAATCATGGCAAAAGAAGGGCATGCAACTGCCTTGTTTAGCAATCTAAATTGTGGTTTCAATTGTAGTTGTTAAGTCGAGGACTACCTATAGTTATGTTACATTCTTTAGTTCTATCACTTCCTTTTCCATGTTGACAACTGAATTTGGAAGCCTGGTACAGCGACAAAAAATGAAGCCGACAGCAGCGTTAACACAGTTCTGGCCTTACGTTTAAAGGCTCTAACAGATAAAAACAGAGTAGAAACGCAGAGCAAGCAGAACCGCCTAAGTCCAGCATTGAACTAGTTAGTGGAGGAAAACAGGACACCGGAGAAATGAAACTTTTCTCTGTCTCATGAAAGTCAATTTGGTATTAGAAAGAGTTCAGAGGCAGCAGGAGAGGCCAGGGCAAAAGAGGCGGTTCACTGGAAAAGTGAGTGAAAAGGAAGGCTATAATTCTTCCCTCAGCACAGGGGTGTCAAACTCGCTGTGACGCGTGACGTGTTGCGACGTATGGTGACTTTTTTCCCCTTGCTGGAGCTGAGGTGGGCACGGCTTCCGCGTGACGCATTCAACCCGTGGGCCGGCAGTTTGACACCCCTGCCTTAGCAGAAAGGAGATCTGAAAACAGAACCCCCCAACTGATAAGCCATAGGTTTATGGAATAACAGACACAGGTTGTCCTTGACGTCTGACCATAGCTGAGCCCAGAATTTTAGTCATAAGTTGTTACAGTTGTTAAGTGGGTCATCACGTGACCTGACTCAATTTTACAACCATTTTTATGATGGTCATTATAAAACCGTAATATCACTACAGCTGATAAGCAAACTATGTGGTCATTAAATGAACCCAATGGCCGGGGTTTTTTTTGCTGAAAAACAGAAAAATAAAACATTGCAACTTCACAGTCACAGGGACACAGGATGCTGCAACTAATCGTAAATGTGAGCCAGTTGCCAAGCACACAAAATGAAATTTATGTGATGGAAGTGGAAAGGGGGAAGGGGTACCACAGTCATAATTTTGAAGATGGGTAAGTAGCTTTTTTAAAAGCCATCACAACTTCAAATAGTCACTAAATGAGAATTGCCTCTATTAAGTGAGGACCATCTGCATTAACAGCACACATAAGACTTCTGTTGTAAGTGCTAAGCCAAGAGTGAATGTATCTACTGGGGTTCTCGTGATAAAAAGAGCAATTTTGAGATAGGAATACCAAAATAAGCAGTTATTTTGTAATGAGTTTTATTTTAATTCCCTCAACTATTTTAAGTAATCTAGGTACGTATGCTAATCTGAAACACATTTTCAACTCTTCATCAAGGCACACCCGGATTTCTCTCCCACCAGTCCTTAGTAGTTCTACTTCTGTTATATATACCTTGAGATGCTACTTGCAACATACGCTGTCCAAACTCAATGGCACCTCCAGCTGAGAATGTCATTTTGAACGTTGCGGATCCTTCCCAACCACCTAGTAAAATAAGATAAGATAGGTGGAAAAAGCAAAATAAGTTTGTCTACTACCAGGTTTATCTTACAAGGCTCCTGAAATCCTTATAAGGCTCCTCCTCTATCATCTTTCCATTAAGTTTCAGCCTAAGTCTTTTAGAGTAAAAAGCAATTCTAGAAAATGAGGGTCATGTTCTCTTTTTCTCCTCCTTATTGTACCCCAATTTTGTTTTAGACAATATATAGCTCAAGGTGGTGAATCTACCTAATATTCCTGTATTTTCCTCATAACAACAATCCAGTGAGGTGAGTTGGTCTACGACAGCGGTTCTCAACCTTGGCAACTTTAAGACTTGTGGACTTCAACTCCTAGAATTCCTCAGCCAGCAAAGCTGGCTGAGGAATTCTGGGAGTTGAAGTCCACAAGTCTTAAAGTTGCCAAGGTTGAGAACCCCTGGTCTACGAGAAAGTGAACCAGCCCAAAATCACCCACCTGGCTTTCATACCTAAGATGGGACTAGAACAGAGAATTTTCCTGCTTTCTAGGCCAGCATTTAATCACTGCACCAACATGCTCTCTACGTGTTGCTACTTTTAAGAGCAGATACACACTTTCAAACTGTGGAACCAGAAATATTTTTTTTTATTTAGATAATAAAACCTGAGACCTAGCTGATTCTAATCATTTGTGAATATAATTGTTCCTATCTCTATAAAAAAATATAAAAAACTAGTTACTATTTAATGGCAGGGAGAATTGAGTGAAATCTTTTTTCTATAATGGTTGAGGCAAAGTGCAAAAGTGTAATTGAGTAATATACACACACACACACACACACACACACACACACACATACACACACATATATACATACATACATGGGGTCGCGATGGGTCGGACACGATTACGCAATTAACAACATACATACATACATACATACATACATACATAGTGGCATGACACTAACGTTACAGGGAGATGGATTTTAAACAACAAAAAAGATCTGTGCCTTCAAAAGTCATCAAAGGCCAGGAAAGAAAAACAACAATTTGCAAACAATAACATTACACAGATTAAATTTGTTCTGAGAGAGCCAGGGCAAATTTGATTTGTTAAAACATCTTCACAACTACTCTTCAGATAGCCATAAATCAATCTAGAATGGCAACCATATGAAGTGAAATTAAATAACAAATATGATTATATCTGGGCTAAAAATTATATGGATTATATAGGAACAATTTAGAGCTGCATGACTGGAAACAGACCACTGAACATATCATCAACGTGGCGGTAGTCCTTTAAATTTGGGAACTTCCAGAAAAGGGGGCTGTGTTTCAGCCCTTGATCCCTAGGCCTCATCTATCACGTAAAAATCATGATAAAAGTACGTTTCTGAATTATTTAGTTGACCTCAACCTCTATGTATGGAAAACAATGTGATACCCATGGAGGTCCATGTGCACATATCCTGGATATCCACATATCCAATCATCCAATGTGCATTTCAGTTAAAAGAAACTAAATGGGAAGTGCACATACTGAAAAGCAAAACTTCAGTCTCTGCTGTTATCGTTATTAACAACAACATCTTTGTATTCCATATATAAAGGGGTAGTAACTGAGGCTAAGTGCTGGGTTTAGAAGTCTGTCTATCTCCCCATAAAAAGATACAAGTGTATTGGGGGGGGATAAGAAATATCCTGAGGGTCAAGATACAATGAATTATTTTGCCTCCTGGAAAATAGGTATATGTGAGTAGTCATAATCACACATAGACAGCCAGTTTTCAGTAGCCATATCTCCTCTATTGTAGACATTTTCTAACAGTATACACATATAGTATGTTTTCAAAACTCCAAATATGCTCATCAGCCCCAAATCATTGCCCAAACACCACCCTAAAAGTAAAATACTAAAAAAATATAATCAATATAATCAGATACTTTAAAACAGTGGTTCTCAACCTGTGGGTCGGGACACCATTTGGGGTCGAACAACCATTTCACGGGGGTCCTCAAACAACGCAGTCCACCATTTTTTTCCCCTTTTCCTTAGCTATGCTACTCGCTTTTATTCTATTGACTTTTGAAAGCCAATAGAATAGACTCTCTTGAATAGAGTCTAATTCTATTGGCTTTCAAAAGCCAATAGGAATTGTCCAGGCTGTCTCTGCCCTGCTGAGCCCGCCCAAAGTCCCATTCTGCAAACGGTGCTGCACCAGTTGAGTAGTCCTCGACTTACGACCGGTTGAGTAGTCCTCGACTTACGACCGGTTGGGGGTCGCGGCATTAAAAAGGTTGAGAACCACTGCTTTAAAAGATCCTTTATCTCTCAACTAAACTGGCAGATTGGATATTTGAAGCAGACGGATACTGAGCATCACTCAGAAGTAAGGCTCTCAGCTCTTTTAATACAATATAAAATGGCAGAAATGGACATTGTCATATTCCATTCTGCTGCTAAGACATACTTCATAGAGGAAAAAAAACTGCTTAAGAGCCTTCAAGTCAATTAAATATGAAACTTGCAATCAAACAGAACTGCACAGCCATCAAAAAGCAACCAAGATAAGAATCCGGTTATAGATTAATGGACCTCTGTGGGATCTCAGAATGCTGCTTGTCAAAAGCCATTTTACCTAAACAGATGAAGTAGTGTCTGATTTAGCTTTACTATAAGAAATAAAAAATTGAGATCCATTTTTGTGACATCTTGCTTTACCATACTTAATGCAAATAGACAGTGAGGTGGTCGATGTTTTCATTAGAGTTTTTATTAAACTCTTTAAAAGTTTCCATACTCTGTATTATGATTTTTTTTCTAATACTTCTAGTTGAGCTCTATAGTCTGCAAAGAAGTTTGGGGGGGAGTGGAGAACAGATCATGGAAGGGAAATCCATTCTCGATTTAAGACAGGCAGGTCAAACTGCTGGCCTGCGGGCCGGATGCATCACACCGAAACCGCGCCCACCCCATTGCTGGCAATGGGGAAAAAGTTCCAATACATTGCATGACGTCATGTGACGTTGCGGGTTTGACATGCCTGATTTAAGATAAAAATGTTAAAAAGTTCAAAATTAAAATAAAATAAAATTTGAAATATAAAATAAGAATGCATATTTTATACTTCACGTAAGCAAGGAGCACTGGAGTTTCCCTAAATCAGCGGTTCTCAACCTGTGGGTCGCGACCCCATTTGGAGTCGAACGACCATTTCACGGGGGTCGCCAAACAACGCAGTCAGCCATTTTCCCCCTCTTCCTAAGCTGTGCTACTCCCTCTTATTCTATTGGCTTTTGAAAGCCAATAGAATAGACTCTATTCAAGAGACTCTATTCTATTGGCGTTCGAAAGCCAATAGAATCTATTGGCTTTCGAAAGCCAATAGAATAGACTCTCTTGAATAGAGTCTAATTCTATTGGCCTTCAAAAGCCAATAGGAATTGTCCAGGCTGTCTCTGCCCTGCTGAGCCCGCTAAAAGTCCCAGTCTGCAAACGGTGCTGCAAGTTGTCTGCAGCTAAGGCGAGCTTTCTGGACGTTTCCACCCCTCCCTGCTGAGCAACTACTAAATGTAAGTAAAAGAGGGCCAGGGGTGGGAGGTGGGAGGCCGGCGGGCGCAGGGAGGGTTGCAGGCGTGCGTGGGGCCCGGCGGGTGCCTTACCTCCCTTGGGCTGGGCCAGCTGGTGGCCCAGCCAGTGGTCGCCCTGCGCCCTCGCTGCCGCGTGCCATGGCTGCCCAGGAGCGCCTGGGCCTGCCTGCCGCCCCACCGAATGTGCGGTGGCCAAGGTAAGGCTAGCGGGGCAGAGGCGGGCACAGGGAGGGTTGCTGGCACGTGTGGGGCCCGCCAGGTGCCTTATCTCCCTTGGCCTGGGCCAGCTGGTGGCCCAGCCAGTGGTCGCCCTGCGCCCTCACTGCCGCTTGCCAGGTACGCCTCGGCCGGCGCAGGGGGTGGCACCACGCATGTGCGGTGCTCCCGGGCCGAGGTGGTTGCTGGGTGACGGCCTGCGTGCACCCTCGGCCTGCGTGCACCCTCGGCCTGCCCAGCATGCGCTCCAGCCGCAGGAGAGGCGGAGCGTGCGCACCTCCTCCTGCCCCGCCCGCAGAGAAATACAGGTAGTCCTTGACTTACGACCACATGGTTGGGGGTCGCGGCATTAGGAAGGTTGAGAACCACTGCCCTAAATTATTATTATTAGCAGGATAAGACCAGAGTTAGAGAATTGAATGGGAACAATACTGTTGATCTTAGAGGTCCCTCCCATCAGTTCAGGTACTATGGAAGACCATTCCCTTCTTTAGCATAGACCATGGGTTCCCAACCAGGGGTGCTCGCATCCCCTGGGGGTGTGAGACGATATTCCAGGGGGTGCGAAAACTTGGGTTTTCAAAATTATAGTGTATATGCATAATTTGTTGCCGTTATTTCAAACTTTTGTAAAGGGGTGTGAGAATGTATCAGAAGCGTTCTAGGGGTGCGAGGTATAAAAAAGGTTGGGAGCCGCTGGCATAGAAGATTTGATTTAATCATGACTGTTGAGACAAACATGCTTATTTGGTCTTTCATTATAAGTAAAATATCAAGACGAATATTCAGAATAATAGAGTTGGAAGGGACCTTGGATGTCTTCCAGTCAAACTCCTTGCCCAAACAGAAGATCCTATAGCATTCCAGACAAATCACTCTCCAACCTCTTCTTAAAATCCTCTAATGATGGAGCACCCAGAACTTCTGAAGGCAAGCCGTTTTATTGATTAATTGTTCTCACTGTCAGGAAATTTCTCCTTAGTTCTAGGTTGCTTCTCTCTTCGATAAGTTTCCATCCATTGCTTCTTGTCTTGCTCTCAGGTACTTTGGAAATAGGTTGCCCCCCTCTTCTTTGTAGCAGCCTCTCAAATTTTGGAAGCCTGCTATCATAGTACCTCTATTCCCTTTGTTAGATTAGACATACCCAGTTCCTGCAACCGTTCATATGTTTTAGCCTACAGACCCCTAATCATATTTGTTCTTCTCTGCATTCTTTCTAGACTCTCCACACCTTTTTGTATTGTGATGACCAGAACTGGACGCATTATTCCAAGTGTGATCTTACCAAGGCAATATACAGTGATACTAACACGTCACATGACCTTGATACTATCCCTCTGTGGATGTAGCCTAGGACTCTACTGGCTTTTTTGGTAGCTGCAGCACACTACTGGCTCATATTTAAGTGAGTGTCCGCTAGGACTCCTAATTCTGTCTCACAATTACTACTGTTGAGCCAGGTATAACCCATTCTATACCTGTGCATTTGATTTTTGTTGCCTAAGTATAAAACCTTAATTTTCTCACTAGTTATCTGCATTTTTTTGGATAGGGCACAGTGTTCAAATCTATCAGGATCTTTCTAGCTCTTGAGCCTATCTTAGTATTGGCCATTCCTCCTAGCTTGATGTTGCCTGCAAATGTGATGCGTCCCTCTTCTATATCCTCATCTAAATAGTTTATGAAGATGTTGAAGAATACTGGGTCTAAGACAGAAACTTGGGGTACCCCACTACACACGTCCATGTAGTTCCATTGAGGACTGCACTTTGAATGAATCCAGATATGAATCCATCTGGTGGTGATGCTGTCTATCCCACATTTTTCTATCATACCAAGAAGTAATTTATGCTCTACTTTGTCAAATACCTTACTGAAGTCCAAGTATACTATGTCCACAGCATGTTCACCCTCCATGTTCTCTATGTTCACCCTCTGAATATAACACCCACATCTGTTATTACAATGCATAATGATTCTAAACATTTCACTAGCATAAAGTAATTACAGTACTCACAACTCATTTGTTATATTTTTGTAAGTAAATTAAGATGAATTCAGAGTTCATCGCAAAGATGACGGAGCAGAATAATCCCAATAATTTGTGGATTGATTTTTGTAAGAACAGCATAAATCAAATGCCAAAAACATAGGGGTACTTACCTCCTGCCTCTGCTTTTACAATGCATTTGATGTAATTTGCTCCAAACACGGGTTGCTTAATTTCACATTCTTTCATTAAATAAAAGGGCATCATGAAAGACTGCATTGCATCTTTTCCCTTAGATACAAAAATAACCTGCAGACAAAATGAGTATAGATTTTTAATGCTTAGAATCAGAAAAGCAAAACACTAGATTTCATTGCTACACACTAACTAATCTCAAATGATGTAACTAATGTTTCAATTAATGCTTCCAAAATCTTAGGAAAATAGGAACCAACAATTTATTTGATTGATTCTATGAAGCAGCAATATTAATCTATTTCTAAATAGCTTTTAAATTCTCAAGATGCTCAATTGATGTACAGTATTCATCAAATAGCAATAGCAATAGCATTTAGGCTTACATACTGCCCCATAGTGCTTTATAGCAGGGGTCCCCAACCCCCGGTCCATCGACTGACACCAGGCCGCGCAAATAAGCAAAGCCCCATCTGCAAAATGCAGGCAGTACATGAAACCATGACCCCTCCACTCCACAGAAAAACCTCTCTCCACGGAACCGCCCCTGGTGCTCAAAAGGTTGGGGACCTCTGCTTTATAGCACTCTCTGGGCAGTTTATAACATTGAGGCGTTATTTGCATATTGCTCCCTACAATCTGGGTCCTCATTTTACCAACCTGGGAAGGATGGAAGGTTGAGTCAACCTTGAGCCTCATCACGGTGAACTTCTGGCTGTGAGCAGAGTTTGCCTGCAATACTGTGCTTAACCACTATGCCACCAGGGCTCTTATCCAAAGTGCTTGAAATACCCACTGCCCATGGGTATTCAAGTTACTGAAACAATTCAACTATTCCATCACCTCTTTTTACTAGCTTCAGCTTGCTCCACCAACATAATTCTAGTACTGCTCCATACTGCAACTGAGAATTCTCAAACAAGCCACTGGAAATGAAAACTCAACTCATCATAAAGCTTCAAGGGATAAGGGCGCTGCAAAATCATGCCATCTGTTACAAGCCCAAATCTTTTTTGTAAGCCCTCAGCCATTGATTCATGTTGCCTAGAAGATCTGACCTTCAAATTATGGGGCAGAAAAGGAGAAGAAAGGATAAGGCCAGCCTTACAGTTACCACCTTTGCCGCTCCTATTTTACAGTTCAACTCATTTTATATTCGTTTTCATTTGGCTTTTGGACTTACCAAGCATAAAAATGGTAATTCCAAATGTCAGTCACATTAATACGAAAATTAAATGCAATGACCCAGTTTTTAACAGAAGGGACTACATTGATATGTATTCTCCCACATCAAAATAGTTAAACCAGAATACAGAAGGTATAGATAGAAAGAGAGAACTATCAGGAGCTTAAGGATCTTTTTCTCTTTCCAAGCGTGCATGTAAACAAATACAGATTGCTGACTTACTCGATACGGAGTCATGAAGACACTGCCTTTCTTGGTCCCTTTAAATGCCTCTGGCATATGTTCCATATCATGGAATGTCATTTCAATGTGCTCGTAATTCATCAAGATGCTATATTCAAACAAAACAGACAACAGATACTAAGATTTACTTCCTAGAAATTCTTTTACATCTAAGACAGATAATATAAGCTTTAATACCACTGGCACAATAGTTCAACAAATGCAACCTGTAGATTACTAAATACAAACATGCACACAATGATTATCAGTGAGGTTGTCAGCAACCCGTTTTGTTGAAAAACATGAACATGAAAACCATCACCAAAAATGTAAATCACATGACCATGGTGATGCTGCAATGGTCATAAGTGTGAAAAATGGTCATAAGTCACTTTTTTCAGGGCCATTGTAACTTTAAATGATCACTAATGAACTGATGTAAGTTGAGAACTACCTGTAATTCCTGTTCCCCCTTTACATTTACAAATGGAATATTGCCACCTACATCCACTGTCAATGTTCCAACTTTTATTCTCATTTGTTTTCTGAATTTTACTATTTATTCTCCCAACTCTGTCCTTGTTTGCCCCAACTAGTATTCCTTCCAACTTCTTTCTCCAAAGAGTGTGTGGAAACTGTGACTTTTAAGCTGATTCTTGAGCTGGCTTGCATCTATTGACTTGCCAACTGCTCAGATTTGAGCATACTGACAACAATGGAAAAAAGATATCTATATTATTGATATTTATTACTCGTAATATCATCTTGCTATGTCAAAGGGAATACGAAAGAAATCTTATTTATTTCAGAGTATCTTCATGGGAAATGAAGTAATAAATTAAAGTCCTTGGAAACAAAAAAAAACGCTCTTTACCAAATTTTACAAGCTGGGGATATTTAGGAAAATATGTTACGCTCAGGACAAGTTCTATTACACACAATTCTTAGTCGTTTTTCCACTGTTAGGTAGCTAATTTCATTTTCATCTTATTAAGCCCTCAGCCACACAAAAGAAATGTCCAGGAAAATGACCATATTGCAGCATAACAAAAAAGATGATAGTACGCTAAAGATTATGTATGATAGCAAGGATCAAACGAGACACAGAAAAAGCAAGAAAAAAAGAGATCGGGGCGGGGGGACGGCGACGAGGAACTTTCTCTCTCCCCCCCCCCTGGAGGCGGGGCACCTGCGAAAGGGCAGGGCCCCGGGAATCAGGAGCCGGGGAGTAGAGAGGGAAGAGCCGCTGACGCAGTATGCTCAGACCGGACCTTTACGAGCCGCAAATGCAGCCCCCAGTACCTTTCGCTGTTATTGATAATGACGCCGCCTCCCTCCGAATGGTTCCTGTTCAGCGCCATGTCCGATGAGCAACTGCTGACTTTTTACTTAGCACCCGCTGGACTGAGATGCTCTAACCTAGCCGTTAATAAAGCGGCTCTACGCAAGTTCTGCGAGCGACTTCCGGCTTAGAGGAGCTCTAGGCAACAAACCAAACCGGAAGAGGAATAAAGCAACGGGGGCGATGCCAAGGCATGATGGGAAATGTAGTTCATTGGTTGAAAGGTTGCTTTTGACCGCTAAAATTTGCGGAAAAGTGGGAGGGGTGAAATTTCTAATCACGAGTTCCTGTCTGTAGTATATGACATTGGATAAATACACTGGATTCTATTCATAATAGTTGATGCTTTAGTAAACGCAAAAGTGTAATGTCGGAATAAAGTTTAAAGTTACATAATGCTAGTCTCTTAAACTTGCTAATTAGATACAATAGTTTCAGATTCTGATAGTACTAACTTCACATACTACTTATTTCTCTTCATTAAACCTATCGCTGGTGCATTTTGGGTCACTCTTGCCTATTTTGCTGAGTGTGTCTTTGGACTTCTGCAGAAAAGTGTTAATGGCAACTCACATGAGAAGTTGCAAAAATAAAAGTCAAGAACGTAGGACATGATGGAAGTTGCCTGAAGGCAATTTGTAATCTAGACACGTTTATAAAGATAGGTCGCCTTGCAACTCCTGTTCCATCTGGAGAATATTGAGTGAGTACTAAACCTATTTCTGTTACACAGGCACAATTGAAGGTTAAATGGCTTGCAATCTGATTCTCAGAGACTGCTGATGATGCTAGGACAACATCTAGCTCTAGCCCAGGGGTAGGCAACCTCGGCTCTTTTATGACTCATGGACTTCAACTCCCAGAATTCCCGAGTCAGCACAGGAATTCTGGGAGTTGAAGTCCATGAGTCATAAAAGAGCCGAGGTTGCCTACCCCTGCGTCTACCCAGTAAGAGTTACAAGATAAATTCTCTGATGTCCTTTTGTCAGAGACTCATTCAACAGTATCTTGACACATAGAAGAGGGTTTAATTCTTGTATTGCTCCTAGATCGTAAAATGGCTTCTTTCTTCCATTATAAAGGCAGCTCACATCATTTTAAGGCCCATCCAATCTTCATGTGGTCAGTCAAAAATTAGAGATCAAACATAAGTGTCACCATGCATACAATTGCATTTTATTTTGAAGGTGACTTTTTTAATATGTGTGTGCATGCATCTTCAGAGCCCTATTAGTTCAGCCCTCCACAACAGTTCGTTTCTTACAATATCTCTTGGGAAAATTAATTGCCTATCCCTGCCCAGATGCATCTCTAACTAAGCTCTTCTAATTAATGCTTTTTTAAAGTTTTAATGTATACCTTTTGCTTTTTGTTTTGTATTTTTTTTAATTGCCGGATGCTTTCAGGGCTCAAGTAAAAATGTGTAGTTTATTTCAGTTTGGCTCATTCTATTTCATTTCAGAACCTATTCTGTGGTTTATATAATCCTGTGTAGTTTGTCACTCATACATATTTGCTTAGTCACATGAATAATGATTTTCACTTTAATTCTTATACATATTTGTGCTCTTCCTTAAAGGGGCCGTCCATCGATAATATAAACAATAATTTGGCACTGATGCCACATCCTCCTTTTTATACAACCAAGTTGACTTTCTTATGATTTGTCTGTAATGAGCAGGCAAGAGCAAAAAGTCTGTTATCTTTCTGCCACTTTAACAGAAAGAATGTGGAGGCAGATAATTTTCCCATTCACAGGTTGCCTGAACTAAGATCTCTTAGGCAAACTTATCATGAAACCCTGCCTCCATCCTTTTTTAGTTTTATAATCTATATAATAATCCCTATTAGTCCTCTTGGGTTCCTATTATTCTTAGTGGGGCAGCTCACAGTGAAAACTAATTTGTAGTACCTTAAAGGCTTGACAATGATTATTGTATAAGCCTTCTAGTCTATTTTGAATTTCATTCAGTAATTCAAGGGAAGATTTACATACATAAAATCTATTTTATGTACATTTTGTGTATAAAATACAATAAAACCTCAATATTAAATATATTATTAAAATATATTTTAATATATTAAGTTTGCACTTTTTGCACTTTCCAAACTATTTCCAAATTATCACTCTTTACTAAATGGTTATATAATAATGCAATTTAAATTTCCTAGATACATTAAAAATAGGTTTTCAGCTGAAAAGAGAAGTGGGAAAATGATTGAATAGTGAAGGAAAAAACAAGCAAACTCAAGAACCAATAGTGATATCAGTGAACGCGATGATGTCCAATGTACCTGGTGATATTATGTGTTAACCTAAATAAGCTTCTAATATCTGATACAAGCAGGTAACTCACAGCATCTGCATATTATACATGTTTTGTCATTTGCCATTACTCCACTCCTATGGATTTCTCCAATTCTTAAAAAAATGCAGCATTTATATAATGGGAACATAACTTCTCTGCTGTTCTTATTGTGTATAAAACATACATGCTTATACGAGAAGCTCAAGAGCATATATAGAGAATCTATTTGGCTTTACTCTTGTCGTGATGCCAACAAGAATAATCGAATAATGCCCTCCTCTCCCATTTGCTGCTACAACGCTTTGGGGAGGACATTAAGTTAACCATTAATTATTAGTGTGAATGGAAAGAGAACAACTCATGATTTTGAGTCTGACCTTTTAGCTAGCTCAATGATTTTGAACCATCAGATGTCATTAATCAGATTTTTAGTTTTCTCAAACACCAGAATTAACTTGCTCACTGTTTCATTTCATCCTCCTTCAACATTACTGTGGGTTTTTTTTACAATAAAATGGATTAAATCTGAAGGCCACATAAAGGTAGCAGGAAGCACATATTAACTGTTAGACAAGCTTGACTTTCAGTCTTTGCCACATAGAACAGGCACATATACTGCCAAAGCAAAATAAATAAAAACATCTTTTTGTGGTTTTGTGAACTACTTTTAATTCCAGTTTATTGTGGTTTATGCCATGGGTTTTTATAACAAAATTTCCTGGCTGGCCCAGCTGTGGATAAAAAACATTTTTCCAAAGCTTTCTTCCAAACTAAATGCTCTGAGAACCTTGTGTACAAATGAAACCTTATGATCAGATGTGGAAGAATAATTAGGCAATACCAGAATGTAATAAATGAGAACCTGAAATGTTAATTTTTAACCAGATTCTGACAAGATTTATGCTGCATCGTTCTGAAAACTTAGAATACCTGCTGTATTTGATGGTGTCGGAATAATTATCATGTGATTATAAATGATTTCATGCCCTAAGGCTTTGTATTGTTAATCTTTAACCAGGAAATATAAAGGAATTTCCAGTCTGCAGCCTCTCACTGGTGTCTAGCTTCCATATTTCCTTTTCATAACATTTGAAGCTCCCTCTGTATTATCAAACTTGGCAGCATGACTGATAAAATATAATGATGTAGTTTCCTGAGAAGCTGAAGTAGATGACTCAAAAAAAAAAAGCCTACACTTTAAATCACCTTAATGCATTAAAAAAATTCAATTCTCATCCTGAATGGTTTTGAAAAAAGAAAATCCTGTCGCAGTCATATATATGACACAACTCTGTGTTTTGGTAGTATTTGAATCCAATTGAACAAACTTGTTCTCCCAAAAAATTAAGTGTGGCATTGTTCCCATCAACCAGTTGTTCAGTAAATCACAAACTATAGTACCTTCCCCCTTATAATAGCTGCATTATAAAAATGAAGGCACAAAATGTCTACCTCCCCTAGCTGGGATCCTCTCCTCACAGAACTGGGCCTTCTATTCTGTTAGGGGCAATGAGATCTTCTCAACCATCCTGAGTGCCCCTTTGTCAATCCTGCAGTGATGGTTCCATCTATTTTATTAACTAACCATCTTTAAATATTTAAAAAGTCCTAATTTCAAAGTAGAGTAAATTACATCTTACAAATTACAACATGTATCTTTATTAATCCCTGTAACCTTCCTAACACTAATTAATTGGGTATAAATTTAAGATATTAAATTCCAGCATGCAATTCAATACGTACATCATATATGTATCATTTTTCCTTTACAGAAAGATGAAAATTTTCTTTGAAAAAAAAAAAACCACACTACATGTGTAGTTCAGGACTATGTTGCAGTGCTTTCGGAAGGACACACAAACTATAAGGCCTCACTTTTTTTTTTTTAATGAAAGGCAAGAATATTTCAGTAGGGACCAGCAGCAAATAAAATTCTCTTACTAAATTAATTTCATAATTAATCAAATCTATTATACTTCCAGCTTGAATACAGGATATAATGGTATTTATTTTGTAAACAAAACATATTTGGGAGACAAATAATGTACTGATTAATACTGCAAAACCCTCTTGTAACAATGTAATCCCGAGATCATGAAATTAATTAAATGGGCTAGCATTAGATTAATGCTTTAAAGAACAAAAATATGCTGTGATTGCAAAACAAAATCTCTCTCTAAATTTTCTCCTTGTTCAGTCCTAGTTTACATTATACTCACAGCCTATAATCTTTTAGAAAGAAAGGAATCCAATGGATGGTTTATTCAAACTGTCAATCCCATTCTAAACAAAACAATCTTTAAAAAGCCACAAAACAATTTTTAAAAAGCCTAAGCCTAAAGAAAAACTTGGGTCTCCCCATAGGTTAACTTGAAATATTTTTTTTTTAACAATAGCAGTTAGAATTTCCTCACCACTCCTGTATTCTATCAGCATGACTAAATTATGATAAATTTATAAATGTTTACAGTGTCTTCTTAGTATATTTGAAAGAATGGATTTTATACACTTGTATCCTTGTTATACCTGAAAGTTCAATCCCCATTCTGCATCTTAACCAAGGGTCTTTCTTCCATTGTACTCCCATGGATCTGTATTCAAAATACAGTGACAAAATACAGCAGAATATATCATAGAAGTAGGGACCTGAAGTCCTTCAGAGGCTAATAAGCCTCAATTTTCATCAGATTCAACAAGCCAATGACTATTGAATCTCCATTTTTATAATATTTCTGTGCTTGTAAGATGCTTGTAAAGAAAAGAAAACATGCAACCCAGTGTTTAAACGTTCTGCTCTCTTGTGCAGGTACTCATCTCTTGAGTAC